GTGCCGCGCCTCCTCCGGCCTCCCGGCCCCGGGGCGGTGGGACGTCTCCGCTTTTCCTTCGCTGTCTCGGGCTCCCCTGGGTGGGCGGCGGAGGAGGGCCAGGACCTTGGCATCCAGCTAGGCGCGTGAACCACAACAATTACATTCTGATACTCGGAAAGCTCAAATACAAGCCGTTCCCACCAGCGGGCGCGGGCGCAAAGGAAATGTCACTCTCCCAAAATGCTAGCGCCCAGCCTCTCGGCAGGGCACCCACGCTACCAGAGAGGGCATGCGCTGCCCTCGCCTCCACCTCGCAGCGCCCAGGATGCCCCTGCCACAGCCAGGAGCTGAGGTTAGATCTCCTGACGTTCAGCCTTGTGCGGTGCCTCGGAAAGCGTCCTGTTTCTGTTTGAAAAACGTGGGATTTGTGTGGTCCTTCTGATACAGCCATGTCACTTTTTCTTTTTCCCATGCGCCAGACTGTTGCTCAGCCAGCCCATTCAGCCCATGATGCCTGGGTCCTGTAACGCAAGACACCCTTCAGACCTCAGCATGGCGGGATCCCAGGCTAAGTACGTGACTTCTCAAAGATAAAACATCCAAGTTGCATTTGAGGGGAAATAGCCTTCTTCAGTCAGATGACAAAGCAGTTATAAATATTGGGAACGTGTTATTGTGCCAAGCCTGCCTTCCAGGGTCAGGGTCAGGGTCAGCCTTACCCTGCCTGGTCACATCAGGAAGGATGACAGAGAGAAACACAATGTGCCAGTGGCGTAACAAGCCAAGGCTGGGGGAAGTTTTCTCCCTCCCATGATGCTTGCTTCGCTGCTGGAACTTCTGACCCACCAAGGTAAATGTGAGAGAGAAAGTCAGCGCCGGCCCGGTTGAAACGACCGGCGCCAAGAAAGCCCCTGCTCTCTGGGCAGTGAGACGCTGGTGTAGCGCCAGTGGAGCTACGCCTAATCCACACCAGCAGAACTGGAAGAACCAACAGGCCCCTGCACCCGAGCGCTCTCGGAAAAGCCGCTGAACAAACCCCCTCAGTTGTTTGTTTCCTCCGAACTTGGATGAAGGAAGCAGAAAACATCGGTCAGAATATGCCTTTTTTTTTTTTTCTTGGCTGTTTTTTGTCACTACTTAACTGTGAACTGCTAAAATAGGCAACTGTTTGCACATCATTACTTCAAAAGTAATTCTGTATGTTACCTCAGGAATGTAGGTATTCAGTACTTCTTTTTTTAAACATCACTATTGCTGTTTAAGATTATCTTGAGTTAAATTTGTCATCTTTAAATATACAGCATTTCAGATCTGCTTTTAAGCATCTAAAAAAAAAGAGGCCTGATTTCCAAAGATACATCTCCCAGTTCATGTAGACGTCCTGACTCACAGGACCCTTTTTTGGGAGCTCACATCCTCATACAAGTACTAAAACTGCAGCATTTCTGACTAACCCCTAATGTTGAACAGCTGTTGAGCGAACACAGACCACACTATGGTCTCATCACCCATTACGGGATAAACAGAATTAGGCTGGGCTGGCAATAGCTCCATTGTGGTTTTGCCCACAGCCTTCCACAAAACACCACATATTTAAGTTTTGCTATGCAAAAGCAGACTGGCAAAGAGGAGCCGACTATTTTGTTTCTGTCCCACCCCTCACTCCAGAGGACCTACAGAGAGGCTTCTTCTGCTCCTACAACGTGGCTCACAGCGATGGGAACTGCTGACCGTGCTTGGCAATATGTATACGAGCAGCTTAAGAAGTAATCAACCCTAGCCATCTTTCTGCAGGAGATTACCGCCCCACAGGCAGTCGCAGGGGGGCACAGGCAGCAGAATGGGAGGAGTATTTACTTCTCCCTTGCTGCAGTTCAGGGCTCAGCATATTAATACAGAATCAAAGGCCATTCGGTTTAATGAGCCTGGGATGCGAACACTGTGGCTGATACGCATAAACCAGAATCTTTAATGAATCTAAAATGTGGTCTGGATTCTGAGGTGAGATGTATTCTGCCCTCCAAGTCCAGCTCATGCACAGAGTAGGGGAAAACGGTGCTGCCAACAGGGCCGTCATTCGTATTAGCAGGTCCCATGCGCTGGAATCCTTTATTAGGAATTATTTATGAAGACTAGGGACTTCCACCCCTATCCTAAGAGACCTTTGCTTCCAACAGTTTGTTCTTGATTGTTTCGCTTCTTTCTTCCACAGGTATTCTCAAACCCAACAAATGTTTCAAAGCTTGGAAGTGCAGACTTCCAGCAGCAGCTCTCCAATCGTACTGATGGGACAAGCAGTGTTAAACCAAGGGTTCGCCACTACACCTCCTTCCCAGCCATCCTCTCTGCCACCTATGCAACTCCAGCACCAACAGCATCAGCAACAACGCTACCTGCAGGTAGGGTAGGACAAAGAGGACGATGTATAAAATGCACACGCAGAGTAATAAGGTGAACGGGCTGTGCAAACGGGGCCCCAGGTTTCAGCGGGAGCCTGATCATGGCGGAAATGGCCGTTTTAGAGACGTTGAGATGTGCGAGACAGAGATACAGTGTCGTGTACCCTTCCAGTATAGCAAGGCAGCAGTGAGAACAGTCAGAATATTTAAAAGGAAATTACTAATTCTGTACCCTGGAAACATAATGAGATTATCCTGGATATCTGTAAAGTGTATTTCTAGACGGAGAAAATTGCTGCCTTAGGATTTATTCTGTACTCTTTATTCAGAATAAAATTTGCTTAGTTTACAAGTCAAAAGATGATTTTTAGTTACCAGCATCGACATAAGATGAGATCTGGATCAGATATCTGGATCCCTTCAGTAAATTAACATATTTTCTCAACTCCACAAGGCAAAGAAGATAAACTGGAACGCATTGCCTGGAAGAACCAGGTGATTTGAAGATGTAAAAATACTTATTTTTTGACCTAATTCAACACATACTAAAGTAAAGGGGAAGGGGGGAAATGAGGTGTCTCTGTATTAACTCAAAAGGAGCTGAACTGAGTCTATAAAACCTGATCATGTATCCACTGGCATCACTGAAAGAGTATCATCAACCTGAAATGATTGAACTCGTTACTGAATGAAATCCTTATCATAGCTGAGAACTAATGAAAAAACTATGGCAGATACCGCTCCCAATAAAAGCATCTGCAAAATTCACATCGACTTCACCACCGCAAGGTTACACCCTACTGTAAACTCACAAAAAGGAAGGGCTAGAAGGGACAGCATGAGGTACACTAGGATTCCCTGTTTCATTTCTGTTTCACTTCTATCATCCGTCTGTGTCATTTCTGACATGTTCACCCACCCTGTTCCTAAACAGGCTTTTCAGGATAACCTGCAAACCCTAGGCAGTGCACTCCTATTAGAAAACCTTTCTCAATCACTAACTGTAACGTTCTTTGTTGCAGTTTATGTCCATTCCTTCTAGAATTAGGTAAGCTAACCCCATGCCAAACAGCCCCAGCAATAAAAGCCAGCAAATTAGTAGTATTTTTAAGCTCCCTGTACATTGAGGACGAAGAGCATTAACATGTGAAAGAATCGAACACCGCGATGAATTTTATTTTTATCTGTAGGTGCAAACACCAAGTTCTTTGCACAATGAGCAACCCGATTCTTTGCTCCTGCCATCTTACTCGCCACAGCAAGGAAATATGGGGTATCATCAGACGCAGCAGCAGCAGCAGCAGCAACAGCAGCAGCAGCAACAGCAGCAGCAGCAACAGCAGCAGCAGCAACAGCAGCAGCAGCAACAGCAGCAGCAGCAACAGCAGCAGCAGCAACAGCAGCAGCAGCAACAGCAGCAGCAGCAACAGCAGCAGCAGCAACATGTAACAAGTTGGCCTGGAAAGCAGGTAGAGACCCTGAGATTATGGGAAGAGGCCGTCAAAGCAAGGAAGAAAGGTAAAACAAAACAATATTTACGGTCTTGGTTTTATAAGATACTGGAGTTTACAGTTACATAGGGAGTTTAAGATGTCAGAAAAGGATGTCTTACATGAAAATTTCATTCTCGATGTTAGAAGTAATAGCTAAACTAACATCAAGAAGAAGCAATAGCTTATCAGAATCATCAAATTTACCACAGCCACTGCGATAGAGTCCCACCAGCACAATCAATGCACGATTAGCTTTAACCAATGGGCACGTGGGGCAGAAGAGAATGACTTTGTACTTACTGTTTTGGCTTTTGCACAAGCATTTCTTTCAAAGCTCTATGACGGAAGTACGCCCCAGAGTGCAGACTGCCACAGACAGTGCATTTACGGCATGCTGGATTCAGTTTGCGCTGTCTCGTGAGCACAGTACGTACTGGCAGAGCAAAATAAAAAGGAACACTATCCTGCGCAGCCTCCATCATCAATGGGTGCGCAGGAGGAGGCGTTCAGTCTTGGCGCGTCACTCTGAAAGCTATCTGGCAATTCCAAAAGACTGTCGACAGACTCATGAGGTACTTGGCCTTCACTGTTTCAGTTCTTCTTTTGTGTATGAAAAGCACTGCGTCAAAGGTCTATTGAGGAGAGAACAAGAGATTATTTTTATTATGATTATTGTTATTATTTTGCACAACTGCACAGAGGACAAAACCTAGGCACTTTCTGTAAAGAGAAGTTTGTTTCCTTATTCTTGTGGCCAAATTAGCACATCCAATGGAGGAGAAAGCCCAGCCATTGGTGAAGATGGTCTACAGCTCATAACCCTTGATTTAGCGTCTGAAAAGTATTATGCAGCTTACCCTAACTGTTCTTCATTACTAAAAAACAAAGAAAGAAACCCCCACAACCCACACTGGACTGTTTTCTATACGAATTGCGGTTGCAAAGGAGAACTCAAATTGTAAGCACAATCACGCAACTCTCCAATAGTAGAACACGGATCCTTCTTCAAACTAAACAACTCGCCCACTACAAGTCTCTGAGAAATATGCACTGTGTTTTGGCCCACTGACTCGGGATGCTGCAGACTATTACATATCTCTTTCATTATAACATTTAGGATTGAATTTTCCTTTGGGGGGAAAAAAAAGAAATGCACTTTTCGCTTTTTTTGTATGTTTTCTGTTGATATGTTTCTAAGAAAGATTTTATGTAATTATTAAATAAAAAGTAGTGTATTGTACAGCTGTTGTAATAATGACCTATTTCTATATAAAATAAAATTATATGGAATTATGTGGAAATTATTTTGTATATGAAATATCAACTCATTTCACAAGTATAAAGATTGTGCTTGTGCTTTTTTGTGGGTGGATATTTTGTAATAAACTAATGAATTAGAAATGTTTTTGTGAAGGGAACTGCTGTTTCATGCTATATACAACTCAAACTATTATTTTTTTCCATTTAATGATGGACAGTTGTCTTTATTTGTAGAATAAAATAAAATAGCCAAAAGGCTTTATTGCAGGACTTGCACACATTTTCCTGTGGCTGTTCAACTATGCGATTCACTTGAGGTTGTTAATATTAGCTGTAGCCTGGCAAGGTGTTTGGCACCCAGTTAGCAAAAACAAGTAGTATCCTATGGGATCTTTGCCATGGCATAGACGAGAATGATAGCTCAGGAAGTTATGTTAGCTGCTAGCCAAGACAGCTCATTTTAAGGTCCTTTAAAACTTTAAAGAATTCAGGCAGCTCCGTACTTCCAACCAACCAGTTTTAGATTAGGACTATTTTAGGATTTATATGGTTTAAAGACTGGTTTGACCCAGCACATACCAGGGCTTTGACCCACGTCCAGCTTCAGTGTTTTAAGACATCGCTGTCCCGAGTTTTGTGATACATCTCTGCTGGAATTGCTACCATGCCACACTGTAGACAGTCTAGTTTCCACTTCAGCATCCTTGTGCAGACTCTTTTTCACGTTAAATTCAAATTGACTACAGGAGGGAGCAGCCGAGGTACAGGTCTGCTGCAGAAGCAGCAACCTCCAACGCAGAATGAGGTGGATAACTGAGCATAGTAATGTTTTCATTCACCACGGCAAGATTGAAAGGGGATGGCCCTCAGGGCAGCTTGCAGCCGCCCAAGCCAGCATTAGCTTCAACAGAGTGCAGACCATGCTGCCCTTCCCGCCCTTCAGTACCAAGGATCATGTCACAGGGGCCCACATGTTCAGATCTGTTTCTGTGCCATGGGGGAACAATGGAGATAATTGGGCTAGGAGCTGGAAAGGCTGAAAGTAAACTTTCAGGAAAAAAAAAAGGTTCATTTGCCCCGAGTTCTGAAAAACCTTCTAAAAAAGCTAAAAATCTCCTGGAGAAAACCCACTGGCAGAATGGCCCTGCTGCTTGCACAGCAAGACTAGCTGGTAGGACTGATTGGTCCATGCGTATTTCAGTCCATACAGTCCCTTTGTTTTATTTCATTGAAGGAAGATGAGGGAATCAAGTATCTGGTCTCTAAAAAGTGTTCAGAGATCAGATCTGGTCTCTAAGAAAGCGGTTTTATTGCTAACTCTAGGTACCAGTCTGAGTTAGCCTGCTCATCTCTTTAAATTCTTGCATTCAGTGAAGCAAGAGTGACCCCACCAGATGAAGATTAAAGAGCTAAACGCTAAGGTGCTTTCACCTGATGTCTGAAGGAACCTCTCTCTTCCCACTAACTACAGACAAACCTTAGCGAAGGCCAGTCAGCTAAGTTAGAGGCTAACTTCATAAATGCCACCCACTCCTGTAAGGGCTTATTCTGGGACAGGAGAGGGGAAATTTGTCCATTTATAGGCCAAAAAGTTAATGCAGGAAAGAGGTAATGAAGGAACACGAGCACCCCAGAGGGAATACCTGTGGAAGCAGCACTTGATGGATCTCAACTACTATGGTGGAAGTCACAGGAAAATTCCTTTAAGAGTTTGTTTTACTCTCAGGGATAGCTGTAATATGCCCACATCTCTCCTGATTGCCAGTGGGTATGTCCAAACCAAGCTCAGCCTCGGAGCAAACACTTATCCTTCCCAAACCAGCAATACTCTAAGTTGTTAACAGGGAGAAGCTGTAAATAGGGTGGGGTTGCCCTGGCTATTTAACTACTTAATTAACTAAATTAATATTTATTATATTGTTTGGAAAAAATAGAGCACTTGCAAGAACAGATTTACGTCAATGCCTAGTTTTTCATGCTGTGTCTCATTTCTCCCCTGTACACTCATTCTGGTTTTGGATTACGGCACTTGTTCCCTGTTGCACGTACAATGCGGCGCCAGTCCTCTTCATAGAGCTGGGCTGTCGTTCTAGTTCACTATAATCACAGAATACTTAGAATAGTTTGGGTTGGAAGGGACCTCTAAAGGACATCTAGTCCAACCCCCCTGCCATGGGCAGGGACATCTTCAACTGGATCAGGTTGCTCAGAGCCCCATCCAACCTGACCTTGAATGTTTCCAGGGATGGGGCAATCCACCACCTCTCTGGGCAACCTGTGCCAATGTCTCACCACCCTCAGCGTAAAAAAATTCTTCCTTATATCTAGTCTGAATCCACCCTCTCATAGTTTAAAGCCATTCCCCCTTGTCCTGTTGCAACAGGCCCTGCTAACAAGTCTGTCCCCATCTTTCTCACAAGCCCCCTTTCAGTACTGACAGGCTGCAAGAAGGTCTCCCCGGAGCCTTCTCTTCTCCAGGCTGAACAACCCCAACTCTCTCAGCCTTTCTTCATAGGAGGGGTTTTCCCTCCCCGAGCATTTTCGTGGCCCTCCTCTGGACCCGCTCCAACATAATTGCTCAGCTTGGGCCATTTTTCTGGGCAGGCGGCCAGACAGGGTGGTCACTGCAGGCCGCTGACCCGTGCTGGAGCGCCTAGCTCCCGTCACAGGAACAGGAGCTGCAGAGCCCAACAGGGCAATCTGCTTGCTAGAAGGACAACGACCCCCAAGCCCAGCTCCCCACACAACGTGCCGCCCAAAAGAAAGATTCCTAAGCAGGGGGCAAGTAGGCAGGCAGCTACCTGAGGGGCGGCCAGCCCCTCACTCCGTTTGCGAACCCCGCCTCAGGCCTTCGGCTCGAGGCTGCGCCAAATGCAACTCGACCAGCGGTCGGGGCGGAAGAGGCGGGGGCCGCTCCCTCCGGGCTCAGCAGCCCCCCCAGGGGCAAGCG